CCCCCCCCAATGCCTTTGCGCATTTCGAAATTTCGAAGTCTTTCATTTTGCTTCTTTCCTTTTGTGTGAGACATAGCATACCCCACCCCGCAGTGACCTCAACAGTGACCCCGTATCTACGCAAGGAGTTTATACAGTTTGTTCTAAGGTCCTTGTATCAACGTCAAGTCAGTCTGAACTGGGGTCGTACGTTTGCCTTTGCCATGAATCAATTTGGACATTCTACGGCATATTTCTACAGCCTGTTTGTACCTCACTGTTGACAACAGTATTATCACTGTTTAATTACCTGTGTAAAACGGAAACCTGTCCAACGCGGAAACGGAAAGAAAAAATCCACTCCCTTCCGAGGGTTTTACATGTCTAAGACGGAAAATGCTTTTTTGCCGTTTAGTCCTGATTTGAAACAAAACTCGCAAGTTTAGTTCCGTCCTCCGGATCTAACCGTGGCCTTCGTGATAACGTAGGCCACGCTATAACCCTTGCTGCCGGGCGAGGAAGGGGAGTAGGGGTGCAATTTGAGGGTAGCTGTTACCCCATCTATGTGAGCCCTGAACGATGAAGATGGTCAAGGTGGTGGGGGTGTGAAATCTCACGAGTGCCAGTGAAGAAAGTGCTGGAGTAGCGAGCCACTTCGGAAACTTTTCTGGGTATCCAGAAGCCAGAGGTGTGAAATTAGTTTGACCAATGCCCTGCTGCCCTGATCGTACAGCCAGCCGAGAAAAGAGTTCCTCGACCAATCGCTGTTACATGGCAGTGAGCGGTGGCATTGGTTGACTGTGCTTATTGCACCGATGGGTGGGGCTAAGGGTGGAAGCAAAGGAGATGTTCAAACGGTTCTATTTTTAATAGGTCAAACAGTGGTCCTATGAAATGCAAGCCCTGGTGGTAATTGGCATTGGATATAAGACTGACGCAAGTCATTATCAGAGATGATAGCAGCTGAGAGGTGTGAAGTTTTGACCACTTTTGACGGGATTGCTTGCCGACCGGACAAGCGATCCTTGATCCCACCGGCTGGGCCTTGAAATCCCCTCCCCCCC